GCTACACTACGGAGCCTGTTCAGTTTAACCTGCCTTAGCCTAGTCTTGCCTTGTCTGTTTTCTCGGTTTCTGATCTTTGCCTGTTTTCCTGGATTTATCCCTTTAGTCTCGCCCTTTTGATTCTGTTCGCCGTTCGTTGACCTTTGCTAGCCCTAGGACTATGTGTGTGTCTTGTCCGCCATATACCTGTTTGCCATTGTTCGACCCTGCCTGTGTTTCTGACCTCTCTGCTTTAAATAAAGCTTGCAAATGGATCCGCACGTCTCACGTCTCGTCAGCCCCATAACAGTATCATTCTTTTTCTTTTTTGGCCACGATTGTTACCTCTTACAGTACCGCTAAAGTATAATTAGTAGTAATGGTGCAGAAAGGAAATATCTGAGGTGATGTAAATAAAAAATAAAGAAAATAATTGTGAAAATTAAAAACGGGACAAGGTTAAAATGACCAAATGTAAATGTTGGAGGAGCTTGTTTATCTAATTCTACCAGTCAAATTTCAAGAATATCTTTGCATCTTCTTATATTATTATTATTATTATTATTATTATTAGACAGTTTAGGGAAACAATTTGAGGAAAAATAGAAATACACAAAAATATAATAATAGAAAACACATTTTTGTATTTCTGTTTCAGCCTCATATTCTTTTGCTTTGTACAGTCTTAACAAAATCTTTCATTCTTTGGCTTCCAGGATTGTTTTGCGTATGTGTCTGCCTTTTTCAGCAGTCAAACTAAGATCACTAGTTTGTATTTGGTCAGGATTTGTCTTGCGTGATATATGATTACCCCCCACACACACACAGTCACTACTTCTATCTGAATCCCTCTCTGCAGATTTTCTGGCCTGTTTCTGTCAGAGCAATTAGTGGTAAACAGGAGATCAGTAGATGAGAGGTGAGGCCTGTCCAGGGCAGTCCCGGCTTTCTAACCTACATTTTACTGGTTTCCTCTCATGTACCCCCATTTTATTCATCTGTACTCATTCTCTTACTCTTGCATTCACTCTCTTTATATCCCTCCATTATTTGCCTGAGCCAAAACCTCACAGAAAAAATGTGGTGACAAGTTGGAAAAGAAAGTAGGCTTTGTGGAGTCATGTGATGTTCTGAGTGAGGTTTCACAGGGGGCCTTACATCACCTACACACACACACACATACACAGACGCTGTACACACATGCCCTTTGTGATTGGTTATCAGTTTAAGACCTTTGAGGTTTTTTTCTAGATGGCTGTCCGAGCACCCTTGACCCTTTGGGCAAGTGCTCACTGTCCAAATCCTCATGGGGCCCTCATCCCTTCTTGTCTGCACCTTTTCATCCTTCAAAGTGAAATGCTATCCAATGACCTCTGAACTCCAGCAGGGGAGGACCACTTAAAAGACCCTTGTTTGTGCAGCTTTCATTGATCACATTATTCACAGGTCTGCTGAATGTAGGGGATTGGATTTCACAGAGTTTGTCCTACAGGTTAAGAAAGGACATGTTGTTATGTAGAATCTGACAAACGTCTGGCATGTTTATGTGTGCAATATAATGTTTTTTTTTTGTGGCAAATGAATAATAAGCTAAATAATTACATTAAAACCTTGATCCATATCTACAGACCAGCAGCAAGTACACTTGATAGTAATATTAATTGGGTCTGCTATATTGCGAGGAGCGCCTCCTGGCGCTCGACGTGGGCGTCCCCGTGGTCGTGGTGTTGGTCGATCGGGTCTGGCTCGATGAAAGTCCGCCATGAGAGAGGGATCCAGGATGTCGCGGGCGGCTACCCACGATCTGAAAACAATGGAAACGCTTGGTAAGGCAGGTAAACTGGCAATACTTCGCAATGAGCAAACACACAGTTCCTTGCTAAATACTGATCAAACAGGAAATGAACGCAGAAGCAGAGGGAGCGGTACACAGTCAGTACTCAGGCGAGGGCTCCCTCTGCTGGTGTGGCGTTACAATGACTTGAATAGCTCTATTTGGGAAAAAAAAATCAATTATTGGGGTGATTTTGTAGGTGAGTAAATCAGCATAGGAAATAAACAAATTACAAGAATAGATAAATATAATAGAACAAAGATACAAATGAAATAAACAGTGCTTTGTATTTTTAAGGCGAGTCTAACAGTATGCAGGTACAGAAATTGAATAGTCAAATGTAAAATAACACTGCATAGTCTTCACTGTATAAATTAAATCTAATAAATCTGTGTTAAAGCTACAAAAGTGATTTTTCTATATGTTTTGTTGTTTGATTAACATGACACAGAAAGCAACAGGGACATTAAACTACTGTAATTGTTATCCTCTTTCTTTCTCAATTGTTTACCTTCACGTAAGACATAAGCAACTGTTTTTACAAGGATACTTACAGAGACATGCATTTTGACATAGTTTCGCGCATATGTGTCATTTCAGGCACAAATAGTAGCGTAAGTGAATGGAATTCAGTGTTCACGTGCATCTGCGTGGCTCTCACTGTGTCTACACTGAACGCGAGCGGCACGATGCGACAAAATACAATAGAACCCATTATAATCAGTAATGCTGTGTGACTGACTACACTGGATGCGGCGTGACATGACAAATCCCGACAGTAAACTGACGCCTCGTTCTATTTATGACGTACTGATACAAAGTTCAAATGATCTGCAACGGTCGCTTTGTCACGTCCAGTGTAGACAGACTTTGGGGCCATTCACATGGTGCGCCTAAAAACGCGTGGAAAATGCCCGCCGCGCCGCTTTCTCCTTCTTTGCAAAGCACTCGGGAGCTTGCGCTTTTGTGGTGTCTACCCTTGCTAAGCAACCGTGACATGCGCTCTCCTTGACGACACGGAAGTTTCAACAAAGGAAATGGATTTCCAGCACTAAAAATCGCTTGCAGTAGCTCTGCTACTAAATTTATTTACAAATGGATGTCTCTGTACAGTTGTCACGTCAGTTGTAGACGTGGTGTCTGTGTGTGAGCAAAGAAAACAATCAGTATAAATATAACGATCAGTATAGGCCTACTAAACATCGCACATCCTGCGATGGGACTATCGCGGATGTGCACATCGTGATATCGATGCTGAAACGTTATATCGTGCAGTCCTAATATTAATAACACTATGCATAAATGTTTTGTGTAATACAGCACCTGGGTAGCTGTAATGACCCCCCCACCCCCCAAAAAAAATGCATAGATAAGTTTTTTTAAGTAATTAATACTTTTATTCATTAGGTGCATTAAATTGATCATCGTCATTAAATGCATTTACTGTATAATTTATTATATCATTAAAGGCACTTATTGCATAATAAAGTTTTTTTTTCTAAATAAAATCTGTTTATAGGGGAGTAATGGCTGCTGCAAATTCAGCATTACCATCACAAGGTGTAGACGTGGTGTCTGTGTGTGAGCAAAGAAAACAATCAGTATAAATATAACGATCAGTATAGGCCTACTAAACATCGCACATCCTGCGATGGGACTATCGCGGATGTGCACATCGTGATATCGATGCTGAAACGTTATATCGTGCAGCCCTAATATTAATAACGCTATGCATAAATGTTTTGTGTAATACAGCACCTGGTTAGCTGTAATGACCCCCCCACCCCCTCAAAAAAATGCATAGATAAGTTTTTTTAAGTAATTAATACTTTTATTCATTAGGTGCATTAAATTGATCATCGTCATTAAATGCATTTACTGTATAATTTATTATATCATTAAAGGCACTTATTGCATAATAAAGTTTTTTTTTCTAAATAAAATCTGTTTATAGGGGAGTAATGGCTGCTGCAAATTCAGCATTACCATCACAAGGATAAATTACATTTTAAAATATATTCAAATAGAAAACTGTTATTTTAAATTGCAATAATATTTCACAATATTACTGTTTTTACTGTATTTTTGATCAAATAATTGCAGCATTGGTTAGCATAAGAGACTTCTTAAAAAAAAAAAAAAAACTTTTACCAACTCCAAACTTTTGAAGCATACATTTGGTAGTAATGAAATTAGAGTCAAATACTGTATAAATAATGTATGTTGGGAGCTTTCAGAGAAAAAAAAACAGCATTGGAAAGAGATAGATGATTGGGAAAGGTGAAACAAGCATGCTTTGGAATGTGATCTCAGCATGGGGCGAGGGGACAATAGAGCTCATATGTATCTCTGTGTGTGTGTGTGTGTGAGCGCTCTATAGTAAGAAGGTTTAGGTTTAGCAATTGGGATGTATAGGGTAACTAAGAGACTTTGCCAATATGAATGGAATGACCTCTAGTCCCTGTCTTCCTCTTTTTTATTTTTTGTGAAGTAGATCTTTTGGTATGCTGTACCAGAGGCTAAAATCCAGAGCAGGGTTTTGTCTTTTGTTCCTCTGTGAGATCACATACCTTTTTCTGCTGTCCAGGTGATCTTCACTAGCCTGCGGGGAGACAAACAGATCAATCCTTGACTGAAAGTCACTTTCACAAACTATGCTACAACTTGTTGCTGTTACACACATTCACAAATACTGAGAAGTATTAGATGCTCATATAATTTCATTGCAGTTTTGAAAAGAGAATGTACATTGATGGATGATGTAACCTCTGTTTAACTTCTCAGTCATTTCAGAGTACAGTTGTCTTTGTACTGTACTGACATTGACAGTAGTACAGGATTTAATCTTGTCTTTCTGTGTCTTTTTGTGTGTTCAGGGATCAAAGCTTCAGGAGCCGTGTGCAGGCCGGGACTGCAGTGGACCATGCCCGTGTTTGCCCTTAAAGGGTAGCAGGGTGAGTAATGAGCATCTCTGTTTGCCAGTGTTGAGACTGTTCGTAACACTCTCTTGACCTCATCCAGTATATCATACACAGTGTTGGGGAAGCTACTCTGAAACTGTAGCTTGACCAGCTACAAGCTACTCGTAAATTAAAGTAGTTAAGCTACATTCAAGCTACCCTTCTGAAAAAGTAGCTAGCTACACTACAAGTTACTATCAAAAAGTAGCTAGCTACATTGAAACTACTTTACATTTTTTTATTATTATTCTTTTGTTTTTACAATTAACATGACAAATAACTAAATAATTATTAATGAATAATTATAATGAAGTTATAAGTAAAATATAATGAAGTTATAAGTAAAATATTTGGGGTTTAAAACAACATACTGTAATGCAATCATGATTTCAAAGAGTAGGGTGAATTCAGGTTGATTTGATTGGAAACATCAATGCAAGAACAAAATGTATGCAACTTAAACTGGATACTGGAACTGGAGGAGTCATAAAATAAGCAAGTTAAACTCATATTTACTGACTGTGAATAGAGACGTCAATCATCAGCTGCGCGCGTGAACACTGCGCTTTGTGTGAATCCCGCCGCAACCATCCTTTGCCAAATGATAAGCACACACTACTATATCGTGATTTTATTTTCTGTTCGATTAGTGTTCATTACAAAACTGTGGGGG